CTGGACCTGACATGCAACACAGGTAGTCTTATAACGGCTGGTTTACGAGGTGGAGGATCGCTTCGGCCGATAAAACACGTTATAGCCGCCGTTACCGCGACCGATACCGCCTAATGCCGCGGAATTATGCGGAATGTCTGCCTGGACATGATAAAAATATCAGCAGCACTCCATACATACAGGGTGTAACTCATTTGATGGACTCTTACTGGTATGTGTCACTGAATATTGCATCCACAAACCCTTCATAGACTATTCGATGATGGTTGCAACTGTCCATAATATTATCAAAAGTAATGATAGTCGCTTTGTACGAATAAGTACAACACACGTATCGATGAGATCGATTCATTTGTGTTTAGTACTATCTATATAGTAAAATGTCATATGTAGCCATTGCAGCGTTTAATACCGTTAGTTTAGGGGTTCCCTCGGTTAAAATTTCCTTGTAGCATAATTCTCCCCGAAATAGTGTTGTCTACCAAGACATTCAAAGGTCCTTTGTTTAAAAAAATCAAGCAAAAAATGCCATGACAGTATGACTCGATGCGGGCAACAAAGATAAATCTCAACAAGCTTCAATGATTTTTTTTATTTTTTTTTTATTTTACATTCCAACTGACAGCTCCATTTTGATATTGGTAAACTTATGATGAAGACTTTCTTACAACCAGTCCAATACAATAGTTGATAGTTAATTGAATTAATTTGCTAGTGATGGTGCATTCAGACGTGTGCTCAGCCCAGGAGTCAGTTTACATTGAAACAGAAATGAAAAACAAAAGTTTGCTACATAACAAAATATCAATTAAATAAAAAAAAACTACCATAAAATTTTAATCATATTCACACAAAAACATGCAACGTTAATCAATTTGAACCCTTGTGACAATTCTATTGATAAAATTTTATGCTACCTGATTAACAAAATACATTTTAATATGTGTAAGAGTGGATTTTAAATGTTTTTTTTTTGTGAGTCGGTAGTGCAATAAAAGTGTTTGCATCACGTTGTCACATTTTAAAATTGTTTAGTTTTTGAAAACGTGCATGTTGATTTCTCCCTTTGCTTGATAAATTCTCCTGCCCTTACAAACCTATGTAGACGGGCGAATGCGAGATTAAAGGAGGAAGAATCTTTACAATAGTTGGTTATTTGATTAAAAAACGTATATAATTAGTTAAAATGGATCTATTAAAAAAAATCTGTAACTGTCATTATTAGTTTGGAGTGATAAGCTTGGCCATGTGAAATATAAACAATTTAATGCCTTGCTCGCTGACAATTTATAACTCGTTAGATACCAATAGTTAGCAAAAATTAAGGAGTAAACAAAGAGATCACCCTAATACGAAGGCACGTCTCGATACCCAATTCAGACCATAGATTAAATTAATAATATTCAACAGTGACGTCATTTTCCCAAACCGAGCCTAGCTGGCCACTTACGACTAAACTCTACAAACAGCAGGAATCAATAATAACTCGCCACCTTGTTAAATCGCCTCCTTAAAACAATGTGGTCGACCCACACGCACAATTCCACTTTTGAATAACTTAGTTACTCAAAGGCGTTCGAATGTAAAATACATGTAAGCCGAAAATTTAAATTTTATAAATAAATCGTTCAACTCAGTTTGATTGTTATAAATTATTATTTTCTATAAAAAATAATCTAGCTTTTAAACAAGTATCGTACCGTCAGCCGTTTTATAACGATTTTACATCAATTTTAATCAATCGCCATTCTTTGAGTAAAATCGCAATTAGTTTTACTGAATCTGATATTGAGGTGTGCTAAAGCAACGATAACATCAGAAATTGTACATGAACACAGAATAAAGACCTAACCTCTTCATGGTTTTATTTTGTGAAATGCATACAATTTTCTATTAAATTTATTTGAAAGAAACCGTGATTTTGTTGAGTTCTTGAGTAGGTATCATTTTATTGGCTTGGTACCGTCCAAATGAAAAAGTGATATAGGTTATAGCTTTTTGATGGCGAATCAATAATTAAAGTCTTTCAAACTTGATTACAGTATTATTAAACATTTCTCTTTTGAAAATGCCATATCTCTGTGTGTATTTTTAATGCATAGCGAGGAATAAATATCTCTTTGAAGATTTTGATCTCTTGCGTATCTGTTACAACCTGCTTTTCATATACATGAATGTTTCACTTTTATTGAAAGCTTCGAAAAATTTATTATGACCGAAGACCCAAACACCTAAGTAAAATATTGTAAATTTTTAAGCTAATATGTTAAAAACGTAGAGTAAGTATCATAAATAAAACAAATAAATAATTTATGTGTGCACAGTAGGCTGGGCTTATACACTCATAATCTTTGTAGCGGAGTAAAGACTTCCGATAATTACAGATACGGTTAGTGAATTAAATACATTATACGGTTAAACCTACTCTGCTCCAAGGGCGAAAACATTATATTTACAACTAAATTGTTTGTAAATGAGAATTTTTTTTACCTTTTAAACAAACAAAAAAAACTATTATATTAAAAGTTGTGTATTAAAATAATATAAACCAATAATAATATAATATATAAATATATATATTAAATTATAGTAGTAAATAAAGTACAATTGAGCACCCTAAATATTATATTATAATATTCAGGGTGCTCAGTTTTACTTTGTTAACTACAATAATTTAATATATCAGGCAGGAGCCCTATTACGTGAACACCTTAAATAAAATATATAACTAAAAAAATAATATATATATATAACATATAAACAATTTATAAATATTATTTATTGCAATATAAATAATATACAGCAACGTTTAATGAAAATTGGTACATATCCATTTAAAAAAACCTGTGCTCCAAAGTAATATTGTTGATTAATTGATAACACCAATTTTCTCTTTCAAGGTTTTGTAATTTTGATAATATTTCCACGTCTGCATGTATACATTAAGTTGAAAGCTGTAATTAAATTGGTTTTTATTATTTTTTAAATTTAATTTAACAAAATACAAATAAAAACCAACAATTGTAAAAAAAATACTAAATTGTTCCATTGAAATAATAGTACAGTATTTATTGGTTTACCTCAGTTATAAACAAACCATGTACAAAATTTACGGAGTCTAGTTAAATTAAGTGTTTCCACATAATAATAGTATTTCATGGTTCTATAGTTAGAGATTTGAAGACTAAATGTAAATTAACGTAAAAGTATCAAGGCCGATACGTAAAAATAATTATTTAAATGCATTAAGTATATAAATTTATGTTAATCGTATTTACTAAACCCCTAATTTAACTATGTCATTAGATTGCCTCATGCATACACACGTACGTGTTGTTGGATAATTATAGTGTATCCCTTAATAATACAAGGGTGCGCTGTACATCAGGTCGTATTTCTCAGTACGATGTTGCGCCGATGTTCATATACCCTTGCACTGAACAGCGCCACGAAGAGCGCCTGCAAACCTTTTGATTCTGGGTAATTAATTTGTTACTTGCACAAGTTATATGAATTTAAAGGCTCTTGCATAAATTGTAAATATATCTTTGCTACTGGCAGCTGTACATTTTAATCAACGATGTAAAGTTATATCGTTGGTGGTAGTGTGGTAGTGTAGAATAAAATAATACTGTAAAATAAAGAAGGAGGACGCGGCATTACTGTACTTCGTATAGCAAGAATATGCGAATTTGTTTTTATAATAATTTAAGAATGCATCTGTGCTTATACAAGTATAAACAATTAGATTAATGCAATACCGTACAAGATTGTGAATGGATTGAATGTAAATAAGTTTTCTGTTGTTTGTAATATTGAGAAAAAAACTAAGTTATGGCAAAATCTCTAGTCTACTCTTAATATGTTATTAAACTGTAAAATCGGTCTAAATCCGTTGACAATAAATAAATAGATAAAAGTTAGTTAGTTTTGTTTACGCTAGCCTACAATAGTAAAACCTACAATACAATCGGTGATATTTTTAACATAACATTAACGGAATGAGAAATTCTTTGTAGCAATTTAAGCGACATCATGCTGCTGAGCGATTTATCAAAATCCCCTATAATGTGCCGTCTGTAATATGAAGTGTTTTACATTTAGAATTTCATATTCACATTTCTCATACATCTATACACCCAAGATAAAATTATTGGTTAAATACTTAGGTAACTTTATCAATAAATTCTTATTTTAAAAAATACTACATAATTTTGACTAGTACAAAAATTAATATTGTGTTACGGATATACTCTTTAGCAATTTAAAGCAATAAGATGGTAAACTAAATAAAGCAGTGTAATTTTATGCAAATTCATAACTATATTTTTACCTACACAATATAATTTCTAGTTTGATTTATTTATTTATTTATAGATGCCATTGACATGGAATTGAATTTATTTAAACTATTTGTATGCCTAATTGTTATTTAGTATATATTTTCTAGTTAATAATCGCCATCCTTGATTTTATTACAACGTTCCCGTCGCCGTACGGTAACCCTTACCTTAATCTTAGTTTATATTATTTTACTAACTACAAGTTGAAAAATAAATATTAACTCCGTTTTGCAAACTGTCCACTCCCATCAACACATCCACAAATTATTTCTTAATGCACTCTTTTATATCAAGGCTTATTGTTAAGATAACGTATTACAGTATGTAGCGGTAGCGGGGGGATAACACAGTAGTAACCATTTTATAAATTGTAAAATGGTATAATTTAATTCAGAGATAGAATGATCAACAAACATATCTTTATTTGCTCTTATTTTCTATTTTCATGTTGTTTTTGTCATTTGTCTATTAATATGATAAGAAATTAAGATAACTTTGGTTAGCGGATGGGGTTTAAATAACAAGCATATGTTACATTCGGTCATTTTTCAAGGTATATTACTTACATTTCTGCTTTGTAAGCCAAGTGTTATATTAAGCTTCGTACATCCAACGTAGGTTTACATAACATACTGCACTCACACTCATGTTACTGACCTGATAGTCTGTCCTTGACTAGACTGGAGGCGAAGGATGCTGCGGCGGCGGCGGCAGTGCGATGTACCAGGGCAGGGTCCAGGGCTAGCCAGGGGAAGGGCGCACCCAAGGGAGGGCCCTGTAGTCCAGGAGGTGCAGGTCTGTGTGCTGGTACTCTGATGACCCCTGCCCCAGGGTACACGGCCAGGGCCGCAGGGTGGCTGTACAGCGAGGTGATGGTCTCCTGCGCGGCCCGGTCGCTCCGGGTCACCGTCGACTCCCCCAGGAGCCGTGATATGCTGAAGGCCAGTGGGGCGGACTCCCCGGCACTGTCACCCCCGCAGCTACGACTGTCCTCGTCCACCTCATCACCGTCCTCGTGACCAGAGTCTACGTTGATCTCCTGGTCCTCCTCAGAGTCCGTCATCGCACCAGACAATGATGACGTCATCACTACCGGTACACTACCTGTCACTGTCAGGTCTATTGAGTCCTGCCACTCTGAGCTGTCGCGAACTGCATGGTCAATCATTCAAAACCGACTATCTGACCGTTGTTCCTATCATAAGGGTTGACGGTGAGAATTAATTCAAACCGGATGTCGGAAAATTAAATAGTGTTAAGTTCGAATCGTCGGTTAAGAAAAATCTAGAGTTATACAAACTACAAAACCGTGACACAGCCACTGTCCACACTCTGTTCGCAACGACGGACGGAGCTCCAGCAGGGATTGTGACGAGCCGGCAGATCGTTCAACACTGAAGTCCCCCCCAACAATCAGCTGACGGCGTAACAATGTGAGGGGCGGAGTCAGCACCGTCCAATCACAGCTCGGTATGGCTCCCAGCGCGCCGCCTCGCGTCACCATTGGTCCTCCTCTCATCCTTGTGCACAATCACCAAATTGAAACCCACTTAACTTGAGGCTGCTTCAACATGGAGTATTAATTATATGTTTAACACTATGTTTAAGCTTCCAGCTCGGCCTAACCGCCTTTTATGATAATGTAATCTTTTTATCTTAGATTGGATTTCCTCGGGGAAACTGTTGTAATGGGTCCCCTTCCCACAAAAAGGAAAAAAAGAAACAATACTCTCGAGTTGATATGCGGCAGTGATTACTTTAATAACACGAATCATGCTGATGGTCGGATGGTGATTTTAATCTGACATTCCAGCCTATCAACTCCACTCCTTTATGTTTATAAGGTAAGACCGCGAGCGCAAGTGAAGTGACGTGAGCCGGTGAGCCTTGCGTAAATGGTTACACTTTGTCTTTGAAACGTCTCAAAAGAGGTTTAGACCAGGTACACAACCCCAAGTAGTGTGAGACCAATTCTAATTTTTTATTTTGTCTTTTGCTAGTAGCCTAGATGTAGTGTAGTAGATGTAGGTCTACCTATAGGAACGTAGAGCATACAATTTAACTTGATTTTTACAGAATAGTAGCCATATTAAAGAATAGTGTTAATGCTCTACAAAGTCATATAGCTTGTAATATGTATTTATTTATTTGAAGGACAAACCATTGTATAACAATATCAATTGCTTTCATAATACAACTTGTTGGTTTTAATAATGACTTAACATAACAATAATGACAACAACCAACAACAGTAAAAACAATAACAATAAAGAACAATATGCAAACATTTAACAAACTGAATGAGAGAGTAATTAACATTAAACCATGGATAACATCTATTCAATAATGAAGTAGTTTAGGAGTGGAGTAGGCCTTGACACTAGACAGGTCTTCATTTATCCAGTGGGAGCGAGAGCTAATGAATCTCTTGAAGCATGTCGCACCGCATTTGAAAATATAATTTTCAAGTGGCAGAGAGATTTCCAGAGCCCAGAGCTTGTATTCGAGCGATGGCACAGTGCTGTTAATATAGCGTAAATGGGGAGACCTAGCAAACAGCTCCCTTGATCCCGCAGGGACATGAAAACTAATCCGCTCAAGCAGCTCCGGGCAGAGAATCTCTTCATGGATCAAACTAGGCCGGGCGCGCACTATCCCGACCACGACCACGACCACGACCAAACGCCCGACCAGTGGTTGTCATTCACCATGCGACCAGAGCACGACCCGACCACGACCCGACCAAGGCAACAAATGTTTTACAAACTTCAGTGTCAAGATGATTGTTGAAGAAATATTTGTTATGGTGCATTTGTATTGTAAGTACGTTAAGCGGAAGAAGACACTATACTGGGTATATCCAATGTTAACTGTTAGGTCTGAAAGGGCATTTTGCGACATTTTATGAAGAGCTACGTCAATATGAAGACGGGTTTCAAAAGTGTCAAAATCCTGCGACATTTTACCAAATGAGTCACTTCACAGACCGGCGCAAAAAACTAGTGCTTACCGTTTGATTGATCTAGGAATACTGGGGGTTGAGTGGTGTACTGGTCGGGTCGGAGGCAAGTCGGGGGTAGTGCGCGTCATCCCATTACATTGTGTGCTATTTTTGGCTGCAACGACCAGCGGGTCGGGCCCGACCAAACTGGAAAATTTTGGTCGTGCGACCAGGGCCCGACCAGTCGACCAGTGCGCGCTGTTCCATTTATTCCTATTATAAAACTGGTCGTATCCGACCAGTCGGAGTCGTGGTCGTGGTCGTGGTCGTGGTCGGGATAGTGCGCGCCGGCCCATGTACTGTATGTAGGAATATCAGGTCGAAGATTTTCCTTCTGGTCACCATCAGCGGACGAAGATCCACGTCAGCCGCCAAGGCACTCACTGTAACATTTGCTTAGTGGTGTAAATATAAAGTCAATGATATTACGCTACATTAATAGAACTTGTTTTAGTGACATCTAGCGGTAACTTGACGAACTGTTGCGGACGACGAAGTAAGTGCTATCTATCCTTAGGGAGTATGTTTAATCTATGATTATACTAACGCCTGATTGATTATGGTCGTGAGATATGTATATGTTTGGCATTCAACATATAATCATTTGTATTTAAACAATTGTGTTAATATTTTTAGTACTGTTTGTAATATTCATAAGCATGAACGATGAACAATTTATAGAATTTCGTGTTTTATTAATAAAATTCTCACGGTAACATCATGATTTCTAAATGAAGTGACGGACAGTTGACTGAGGAATCGTGGATGCAACTGAGACTGAACTGTGACAGAACTTTGACTAGACTGATGTGAGAATCGACCTCATCTTCATTTGATAAGGATTATTTATTTATTTATTTATACGGTAAACACCATTTTTACAGTCAATAATACATGAGATTCAAGTTGTCAAGTTGTTGTTCAAGGATTGTCTTCTAACAAGAAATATGATTTTTTGGAAACCACCTACCAGAAGTTAAGAGTTAAAATAATCTCCTAACAAACAAAAAGTGAATAAAACAACCTTTAACATAAGGCAATGATCCTCTATTACAAATATTATTCAACATTTATAATTATGAATATCGAATATGACAATTTTAATTTTAACATAAAAAAATTGCATCAACATCAACGAATGTTTGAATTATATTTTTAAAAATTAACTTAAGTAAGATGTTTACAAAATCTCCCATCATTTTCATTGTGCGTTTATAAGCCAATCGTCGACCTCCTACTCACTTAGAGGTTCGACTCTCGGCTTCTCAAATAATGTTGATTTATTGTCGATAAAATTAATCATATGGTGAAGTAAGGACCTTATATGTGCGAGCTACGTAAAGATCACTGCGAGTGGCAATAAGTAAAACACCTTATTTATGGTACTACTGCAGTTTTATACCAGAATGTTGTTAATTTGTACTAAAAAAATAGCTTTTTCATTTGTTTTGATGAGGTCAAATTTGTTTAAAGTACTGAATACAATTTAAATTACTGATAATATTACGCTACATTAAAAGAACTTGTTTTAGTGCTATCTAGCGGTAATTAGACGAACTATTGCTAACGACGATGTGAGTGCTATCTAGCGGCGAATAGACGAACTGTTACAAACGTCGGTCTAGAATAAAGGGGTTTTATGGATAAATGTTATTAATTTACGAATGTTGCGATCTTAGCTGTGGGAACGTGGTTTTATGGGGTTAAAATTTGGCTTTCCCATCGCAAATTCCCACGTTATTCTAAAGGAGAAAAAAATACTGCTGTATTTTTTTTTTGTTTATTGATTTATTTTCATCAGCTTTTTTCGATTAGTTTATTTCACACTAAGCTATAATCAATTCTATTATTTAAAAAATATCCCGCCGAAGCAAACATGCATTTTAATTTACCTGTCTGGATGTTCACTATTATATTCTCTTAAATTTGTCACATTTATTTTCTATACAGATAACTCGATAACATAAATTGAAATTGGTACTTAAAGCTTGCACTACAGAAAGGGTAACAAATGTGCGTTTTTTAATTTAAATGTTGTGATAGCTTAGTATGAAATTAAAAAAAAACTGCGAATTCAATAATATATATACTCACAAACAACAACTGTGTTCTTTTTCTCCGTTAAAATAACATGACAATTTTAATTTACACTTTTTTGGAATTTTCTCAATAACTATTAGACATACAACAATGTTTCTGTTACCAAATAGTCATAATACCGGCGACATTATGACTTCTAGGCAAGCACATTAACCACAAAATAGCAACAAACATGTTATCTCTGGTGTAAATTAAGAAATACCACCGCCACAGCAAACCTGCAGACTAGGCGAATTTCCATTACCGTGATTTGATTTGTGGAATTAAATCTATTTTAATACAGTAACATTTGGTTTAATGAGTACCTATGTTTGCTGCTACAGGGAGGGTAATAAAGTGGTTTTTAAACATTGGGGATGGAATGTCTAATTGTAGTTCAAAGGTACATGCTTTGACTATTAATACAACAACTAGACATTCCATCCCCATGTTAAATTTGTAGCCAGGTTTTTAATCAAACTTGTCTTAGTTGATGTGAGCCACCTACAGATTGCGCTGATCTAAATTACTGTTTTCTGCCGATTACACGATGGTTTTTACCAAGTAAAACTGATGGAATGACTTATTATGAGCTATAATTGTTATTTCGTCACCATCATGGCAACCCATAAGACTCGTGTTAATTTTTTGAAATTTCTTTGAAATTTTTTGTGCTTTTCTAGTATGCATAGATTTTTTTTGTGATGCACGTGAGCTGAGAAAAAAGGTTTTAAAGACAATAGACAATAGACAATAGACAATAGACAATTTATTCATCGTTCAGTAATTACAAAATTACAATAGATTTCGTCAAACAGAATATATAAATAAAGGTTACTTTTTAAAATCTAGGTCCTTGTTTTTGAATTTAACATCAAAAAAATCATCTATTTTGTACATTGGATTGATTTTACACCACTTTAACAGTTTGTCAGAGAAAACATTCAAAGGCAAAGAGCTGAAATCAACAGGAAACTTATTAAATATTTTAAGACCCAAGTAGGTATGGTAATTCTGAGTTCTTGACAGCCTTACTCTATCTAAATCTAATGTACCTCTATTTCTTGTTTGGTAACTATGGACACTATCTCTAATAACATATTTGTGGTAGTTTTTTTTAACAAAAATAGACACTTCATATATGTACAGACTAATTACAGTTAATATATCTAATTTTACAAACAATGGCTTACAATGGTCTCGTTTTCTACTACCAGTCACAATCCTTATCGCCTTCTTTTGTACTTTCAAAACATCTGTAATTCCTACTCCATTTCCCCAAATAACAATGCCATATCTAATAATGCTTTCAAAGAATGCAAAGTAGGCTAATTTTAGATAAGTGTCAGTTACAT